GCTGCCACCTATGGGTCAGATGATTGCATTGCACCATTAAGCAATTGGTAATTAAATATAATATTTTTGTCCTAAAAAGTGTAAAATTTTGGAAAAAAAATTTCACGAACATTAATTGTCACGCACAACGAGTCTGTGTGGAAAATGTCAGCTCGATTGGATCACGGGAAGTGGGTTAAAAAACGACCGAAAGATTTGCACGGTCCTAAGCAAGCAAGCAAACTTAATATAAAGGATTTAAAAACATGACAGTGAAGCAGCAACTATATTCAATAATTATTCTGCGTTACTTCCTAACCCACCTCCCCATCACACAATCACTGCACGTTATCTCCCCCTCCCATGCTAATTAGAGGGATCCATTTGTAGATGTATTTCCTCTATTGACCTCTCTTTCTTTCCAACAGGCAAATAAAGATTGTGAAAGCAAAGGTTCCACATTTTACAGAGGAGAGTGTTTAAAACATGCGGATTGTGTATTTAACACTGGTGGCAGGCTTTTCGAGACTTGTTGTTTTCTATGCGTTTCAAATGTTTTTATCTTGTGTGGGGGTATCTATGAAGGGATCGCGTGCTAATATTCTATTCGTATAAGCAAATGGACACTATCTCCCCTTCAATGCTCACTCGACGATTGTGCCAATGTAGTTCACAAACCGTCCCACGCAAATTTAGACAAGGCCGAATGAGTCACCCTTCTTAAAATGTCTCAAACACACCCCTGGCTTTATAAAGGACACACTTTCTTTTTAAAGTGCAGTTTTCGAAGAGAGAGTTGTTCACGCCCTGCATTTAAACACATCAAAGACGGCTCCTATCAAGGCACTTGCTCGTTGGGATAACCTTTATTTGCCTTTTACTTCAAACAGGGAGAGATGTTACTGTGGCCCACTCTTAACGAGAGCTCTTCATTCTGATTCCTTACACCATGACTGAATATGCCTCTTCTAATGTGGGACATTTATTAAAATGTATTTTAGAAACATCAATGGAAGAAGTTTTATTTTTGGACTATTTTGTTTATTATAACTATTAATTTACCCTCTAGGCAAGCTCTCGAGAGGGAATTTCTCATGGAAGCCCTTCTGCCAGGAGTGTTTGCGGGGTTGCTGATTTTTGTATTTAATTATGTTGTCCTTTCCTCGCACCTCCGGGAGGCACGGTTGGCTACGTACGGTGCGAAAAAAGTTCAACATGCATACGTTGCAACTTCACCTTGCATATTAACATGAATAATGATATCCTGAAACCTGGCTTTGATACCCAGCCACAGCACGCATCGGTGACGAGTGATACCTTAGCCGGCCTGTGCACTCTCATTGACGAGCCAGCAATAACCAGCGTAGTCTCAAATAATGGTCAAACAACCCCAACGACTAACATGGTGTCGGGGAAGGTCTTCAAACGGCAGTATATAGGGGCCTATCATCGGTTATAATCCATCCCACTTGCTAGATGGACTCCTCAAACCGTTGCCGTTTCTCAAAATACAGTACTGAGGTGTAAACTTCTATTTAGCTCCCGCACCCAAGATTCCATCACTCCATCTTCAAGGTGCATATCCTTCCCTGCTTTGTGAGACGTCCCTCCGAGCAGCATGTTCTGCCCGAGCCAATACACTTTTCATTGACAGTCAACATAACGGTGTCATTCCTATCTTCTTCCTGTCTCTCAGTGCATGCAATAGGCATGCAAGATGTTGCTCCGTTCACTCTCAAGCTTGTGTTGTATTTCTGCATCAATGTCCATGTTTCCGATCCAAATGTCGTCGATAATAGACGCGGCTTTAAACGTTCTTGGTTATGCACGCTGCATGTTAGCTTGATTTGCATTATCAAGTTCCGATTTCCAAAACCAGATATTTCAAATGTACATTTTTCTAAAAGAGCACCAGCCTGTTATGGTCTTCCTTTTCACGCATTATTTTGATCCCAGCCCACCATCAGTACCTGCCCTATGTACAAGTACCCTGATGAGTTTCCAAGTTTTTATTTCCCTCCGTCAGATATCTTCCATTGTTGAGCGAGCTCGCACCGTGGTGGTAACACTTCACCTCCCTCGTCTGGTCGGCAGGAGGTCACGGAGGTGCCACGTCGGCGTGCCGCACGCAGCGTGGGAACTCCGCGTCGTGCGATCGATCATTTGGGCGGTGACGTGGCCTATCGGTGGCAGATGGTCACGGTTCGAATCCAGCGGGCTGCCCCGATCATTACTTCGGGTTAATGAATCAACATAAATAGTAGACGTGAAGGATCCTGTGACGTAATTTGCAAGAGCAAGCCATTGTGTGCTGGCGCCAAGCTTCGAATGTGATCAAACGACCTGCAATTTATTCAATTGGAATATGCGTTGCAAACATTGACCTCCTGAAAAAAGATCGATGAGACTCAGTGAGGCTTTCATGGTTGAACAGGCGAAATAAATAAATAATGTTGAGGCCCGGCATGTCCCCTGTCAGATCTCACAAAGCTAACGCAGCGAATGTGCAATGTGGTCCATTTGTCCCTTAAGAGTGACTTGGTTACGTACCGATAAGCTGTCAGCTCGTGAATAGAGCTGTTCTATCATAGAGGGGCCTCGTTGTGACAACTGCTAAATCGTCGAGTCGACTGTTTATATGTTACGATAAGGAGGGTTATTAGACGGAAGGGGTGGAGTGCTTGCACTGTGATTTAGCGTACTTGGATATTAACCCAGAGACCTGGGTTCAATTCCCGGCCACGGGTAACATCAGTGATGAATGATATACAAACTGGTTCTTGCCTCCCCATCACCTACCACACCTCACCACACCTCACCACACCTCACCACACCTCACCACACCTCGCCACACCTCACTAACCCACGCTAACCACCGTGAAGCGTGGTTTAAAAAAACTAAAGAGTGTAAAATCACTGCTAGGGAAGGCTTTCATCCAACAGGATTGAAAAATTACTTGAAGTTATTATTTTAATTAAAAGTGAGATAAAATGTTTGACCTGTCTTCTGGCTATCGGGCTAATTATAATGAAATGCCGATTTTCATTTAAATGCAAATGTTTAGCTTCACGTTGAAATTAATTATCAAGAATTTAACAATCATGTATTTTTTATTATAATCTATGACTCGGGTCATTGTTATTCATAAATCATATACAATATTTAAATTTTAAACAATATTCTGGTGGAGACTGTTGCTTGTTCATCTGCGTTGCGATTACATTCTAATATATACATAGGCGATGCAAACTTAAATGTCACTAATTGCTTGACGGTAATACTGTAATGACCGTGATGATTCCGTGATAATTGCATCCTCTTGAGGTATGCGTAGTTACTTACACACGAATGTTTACACTACATTGTACAGGGTAGCTATACAATCCCTTCGCATATTCTTGGTTCTTTCGGTAAAGTCGCGTAGAAGGGAAACAATAAAATTCTCACGACGTTTCGATTACAACACAAGCAATCATCATCAGGTGTGAAAAACACAGCAAGAACATTTTTTAAAAGTGGCGGTTTTCAAATTTTATTGCTGTGTTTTTCACACCTGATGACGATTGCTTGTGTTGCAGTCGAAACGTCGTGAGAAATGTTTTTTTTTTATTGTTTCCCTTCTACGTGACTTTACCGAAAAAACCAAGAATATGAATCCTTGCAGTCACCAAAGCTTTAAATCAAAATTCCTTCGTAATTCGGGAATATTTGAATCATGAATTCAGTGGATGGCTTGGGATAGGGTCTGGTATGACGTGGCCGATCTGAAGCCGGGACATGCTCTTTTTTGACAATTCCCTTTGTAAAGAACACTTAATACTGAAGAACTCGAAAAAGCTGGACAACTTGGGTTACGAATTCAGCTGCGCTGAGAATGGAGGGCATACCACGGAGCTGTTCAAGGAGTTCCATTATTTTTTTATTCACGCAAAGGGAATTTGTCCATAATACAGGTTTTTTGGGTTACATCGCGAAAATATATCATTGTGTCGTTAAACCCGCCACCACCCGACACAGCTAATTAGTGAGGGTTGTCACGTAAACAGAACATATTTATATAATTACGCGATCTAACCCAAAAAAACCTATATTGTGGATGATATTGGTCGCGAAAGCCTACGTGTTAAAATGCAGTGGATTGGCCGTGGCTGCACAATTAAATATCTTAATCCTGCATTGCCATCTGCTGGAAAGAAAGGAGATCTGCGATTTAAAACACCCACCATTGTGCAGGAGTGTAGTGTAGGTTTAGACCGTTACTAAAATAATTGCTCAGACATTTCACGAGTATTGTCTCACATCCGGTCGTGCGAATTCCACGGTCCCATGACGGAGGCCAGTATGCCCCCCCCACCCCACTTTTTTTAGAACAAACATTGCCAACGTGGTTCCGACAGTCGCGTCGCGAGTTTGTGTTGTCATTCTCGTCACCACGTGACGCCGCTTTCGAAGCAATTAGTGTTGGTGGATCACGGTTGTGTTCTCACCTGCCAACAACCGCCCAACTGCGAGCTGGCAGGAGATGGCAGCACAGCAAGTGGGTTCATATTTGCCCGGACACTATCCCCGTAGTATCCCCCTCCTTAAAAAAAGGAATTTTGCCAAATATTGCCAAACATCTCAGGCACATCTGGAAATATGCGGATACGGGGCGTTGTGACACAGTCAATAATACCGGGCAGGCTCCAGGCTTAGCCTCCGATTCAGGGTGATTCGTGGTAAACGAAACGCACCGAGCCACACTTTCTTGAGACGCAGAGAGGCTCTCATGGATAGATGCAATTATTATTGTAATTCACAACAGCAAAACTTTAACTTGTCGATGTACCTTCAGCTACCCTTCCAAAAGGGGCCTTAATTCTTCCCAAAGGCAGTTTAAATCGCCCACATAACCCAGAGGCGAATCAAATCGCTGCAAAAAAAACCCCACTCTTAATGTCTCCTGGCCAAAAGCAGCCACTGTTTATAACGGAAGCTGGAGCGATGCCAAGCGAGAGAGAGAGAGAGGACTCGTGGTTGAGTTTCCAGGTCACCATTGAGGCCTGCGAGCCGCACAAACAGAATAAGGGGGACACGGAGGTGCCCCGAGGGTTCTTGACAGACGAGGGAGGGTTGCGGGTAGACGATTGGACGGGAGTCCCGACGGATGGAGGCACAGAGACGAGAGAGAGACACGGACTCGCTGCGCGGGAGACTTGAGTGGTAAACTTCACCGAGGCTACGCACCGATAGAGGTAACAAAGTGCCAGATACGCGGGGGAACAGAGTCCGACAGAGACAGACGGGTAACACTAGAAAGAGAGAGCCAACTGGAGTGGTAGACGGACTGCGAGACAGATTAGGTGAAATTACTGTATCGGGACAAGGGGCAGTGAGCGACAGAGCTGCAAACAAGAAGGCGGAGAGAAATCCAAGGTGAAGATTAACAACACAGAGTGACAGGAGAAGACACGCGGACGGGAAGACGAAGAAGCAGAGAGAGAGAGAGGGACACGGCGAGGCGAGGAGACGTCTCAAGTGGTCGGGCGGACAAACCACCGACGGAGGACGACCGCTCCACGTGGAACGGACAAGAGGAGATCTCCGAGAGCGCGAGAGGAGAGCTCGAGGGGCCGGTGGTTCTGTGGAGCGATGCGGGACGGGGTGGTGCTGCGCGCGGCGCTGGGCACATCGGCGGTGCTCGGGCTGCTGGCGGCTGCGTTGGTGGCCGCGTGGCAGTGGGGCTGGAGGGGCGGGGTGGCGTGGGACGGAGGTGCACGCCACTTCAACTGGCACCCGCTGCTCATGATCCTGGGACCCGTGGTTCTCAACGGCCTCGGTCAGCCCCAAACACGACAGTCACCAAATCTGATTGAGCTTCGAGCTTTCGTGACTTGCAGGAATGTATATTATGTGGGTCTTTCGGTAAAGATAGGTTCAATGAAAATAACACAAAAATTGGAAATAAATATTTGTAGATATGTTCAAAGAAAATTACAATTTTTTTTTATTAATGTAGCATTTTTTTGTTATTTTTCTTTGAACCTATCTACGTGACTCTACCTAAAGACCCAAAGAATACGACTCTAACCACCCACCACCACCACGGTGTCTGTGTGTGTAGGGTGGATAAGTTGGGTGAGATCCAGGGTGGGTGGGTGGGTCGACAACCAAAATAACAAAGGAGAGAGATTTGTTTCTGTTTCGAATTGGGTAAAACAAAAATAAACACCTTCGCCCGCCCCCGTCAATATTTCAAGAGCCACAATGCGTTGTGACGGTGACCGCAAGGTGGCCGACCCCCACCTGGGTTCGTGATTAGCAGGTGATGGAGACGACTACGACGTTGTAAAAGGGCAGCCCTGCAAGCTGCTTGCCCGTGCCATTGCTGGAAGAAGGGGGCCTCCGTTAGCTATTTTTTAATTGTATTTGGCCTACTCTTCAGCGCTAGCCAGGCGTCTGTTAAGACGGACTAAGCGAGCTTTGGTAGGACGCCTGGCTAGAAGGGATGGTTTGACAGGCGGTCGAGGCTAATGACGGAGTGGGAGGCAAAGGAGGCAACTACGCACGAGAGAGGGTTGTTCATCGCCGGAGATGGAGCGATGGGAATGATCTCGTGTGCAAGGTGCGAGATGGATTGTGACACCGCGACTCACTGAGAGGGATGCAGTCGGCTTGGTGGGGGGAGGCCTTCATCCAGCAGTGGATTGATCATGGCTGATGATGAAATACTCATTTGAGAAATTATGTTTTTTGTGATGTGGATGTACAGTCTTTAGCGTGTAAATGCGACCGCAAATCAAGACGCTGTACAGACAACAAGTAGGACATATTTATTTCATAGAGGGAGGCAGTGACTCATAGTGCAGAGGAATGGATGATGGCCTCGGGAAAGCGATTTAGCCAAAGGTGACTTTATACAGTGCAGGTATTTGGAGTCAAACTCCAATTTTCAGCGGTGTCGCGCCGTTGCCATGACTTTGGTACCAGTTGCCCGAGGCACCGAGCCAGCCACTTCTGTTAGATAGACCCCTGTATGGCGTCCTGCATGAGATTAATAGCCACATTGCCAATTACGTTTCACAATTGACAATGGGGGCTGTAAAATATTAATCACAGAGTCCAACGGCGCGACTCGAAGCTGGGCGAGTTGCTGACGTTTCCCCAACTCAACCACCCCATCACCACACCTCCGCGCCCCTCGCAGCTCGCCCCGGGATGTGTGTTTAATGTTCATGCGGCTCCCGCTGGGCTGGATGGAGCCAGTGGGCATGTGTTGTGTGTTGCCCTTTGCGCTCGAGTCAGGAGCACCCAGACGGCTGTACAAAGGTGAACGGAAGCCAGGCGTTTTGCTCAAATGTAGCCGCTGGCCGTCACTGCGGAGAAGACATTATAATCAACAACATAAATGCATTCACAACACGACGCTCAATGGCCAATTATGTTGTATAGTTTTTCGTCCAACTCGTTTCTAACAGGGTCCTTGCGTGTAAACATTGCGTAGTTCACCACCAGCGTTTAAGGGAGCCTGACTGCTGACGAGACACTGCATGTTGAAACCAGAGTTTGTATCAAACCAGTGTTGTTGGAAATGTGCATTCTGTGAGGCTGATGAATTGAGGATCATGTACTTTTATTTTGAATGCGTACAAGGCAGGGACTTTAGTGAAAGACAATCCGCCAATAGTTATAAGATTACATTTTTTTAAATGCTCCGAATTCCGTTGGAAGGATATGAACACTGCCATGTGTTCTTAATAAAGCAGGAAAACCCCACGTTTAAATTGTTGGTGTCACAGAGGTAATTTTCTTTAGAGGGATAAATCATCCTGGTGCATATCATTGTAATGCAAATACTATAAACAATACTTCAAAATATGGAATATATTTAAAATTAAATTTGAATTTTAAACCTGGCATTTATAGATTTGGAGGTACGTTTATGTAACGTAAATGGAAGGGTAAATTCAGGAATGGTGTGATCCTCAGTATTTCATTAGAAAGAGAAAAGCAATGAATGTTTGATAACTAACCTGAAGAGGGCTCTTCTGAATAACACAAATTTATTTTACAAGATCTCCGTAAAGATATTGAGCATTATTAAAGAATGATAAATTATCCATAAGTTGGAACTGCCATGTTCAATTGTTAACCTTTATACCTTTTTTCACTGAACCTGAGTGCTAGATAGCTTTGCAATTTGAAACATTCGCAAACACGTGGGACTGTCCTAATCTCAGCACGATGTGCGTCCCCAACGCCATGGTGGGCATGTGTGGAGGTTTGCAGGATGACATTCATACAAAAAAATCATTCTTCATAAGACCTAGCACACCCTGCTCCAGTTCCTCTCGCATGGGCCACCGTAACAGTGGTTAATCACGAGGCAAAGTGAACTTGGGTGGGGGGGTGGCAAAGGCACATTTGACGGTACAAGGCTCACCCCAGTACCTACCTAGCACTGGCCCTGCTACCAACTGTGATTGGAGTTTAATGATACCCCTACGGCCTATGATAAAATCACCGGGAATGCACCCCATCTCATCAGACCTCAGAAGCTAAGCAGGTAGGATCCTGGATGGGTGACCACCGTGGCATGGCATGTGTTTGAAGGTAGCCGTGGAACTCCGTTTATGGACAGCAGAGGGCAGTGCAGCAAAAGCCATTGCATTGTACTTCTATGCTCCCACGTCAGTGCTCTGCACATTCACAAGCCCTCACTGATTTTTCGATTTAAAGCTTTCGTGACTGCAGGGATTCATTGTCTTGGTTCTTTCGGTAAAGTCACGTAGAAGGGAAAAGATAAAATAATAAAAATAAAACATAATAAAATAATTCTCACGACGTTTCGGCCACAACGCAAGCAGCCGTCCTCAGGTGTCTTTCTGACAGACCTGTTCCTCACCTGAGGACGGCTGCTTGCGTTGTGGCCGAAACGTCGTGAGAATTATTATTATATTTTTATTATTTCCCTTCTACGTGACTTTACCGAAAGAACCAAGAAGATGAAGCCCTCACTGACCAGTGCGGTGAAATATGATCGGATAACCCCGAAGATCCGCATGGCGTGGGGAGGCCCCCTAATCCAGCGGTGGACTGAGAAGGGTTGTTGCATGTGTAATGGGTTCAATTTAGGCGCACACACTTCTTGGGAGGCAACACTCATTTATTAATTAACACAACGTTTACTCAACAGTTACTCTTACTCTACACATAGGGTGGTGACCACCGACCTACACTAGCTAACACACAATTGTATTTTATCCGCTCCAGCGTGACCCAGCCAGGTGGCTGCTGGCAGTCCGCTCACTGTAGGTCTTCTCTTCTGGCATCTTCACGAGGTGTCTTCATTCTTCTCAGGAACCCCCCTGCTCTGCCTTCACACCACGCTTATATCTCGTCTCTCTGGCGTGGCCGGCTCCGCCCAGGCCACGCCTCACTTCCCAGGCCACGCCTCACTTCCCAGGCCACGCCTCACTTCCCCCACCTCTGGGAAGGTCCGGATCCCTCCAGCACGTGAACCCCCAGGCACCCCCTTGGGGCCCCCAGCCCTCGTACGGGCCAACACAGTAGTGACCGTTCTGTCACTACATCACCCCCCCCTGTATAAACACACAGCCGTCCCCGGCTGTAACACAACTGTGAACATCGAAAAGGTGTGCCTCCGAACCAGCAACATCAATAAATGACCGGCGACCGATAAGAAATACAATCACGTAATATATACAGAATCGACGAGGGTAAAAGGGAACCGCATAGAAAACGGGGAATTAACAACAAATATACATGAAAACCGGCTAACCCACTTACGCTCCATCACAGCCCCCCCACCGTTAGAATCACGCATGCAATGACAGTCACCCGTTAGCACCCCCCCGCCTTTCCGACGTGGCGTCACAACCAGTAGCACGCGTCGGCCATATCGGGGGGGGAATTTCCATGTTACCACCCCACCGCCTTTCCGACGTGGCGTCACAACCAGTAGCACGCGTCGGCCATATCGGGGGGGGGGAATTTCCATGTTACCACCCCACCGCCTTTCCGACGCGGCGTCACAACCAGTAGCACACGTCGGCCAAATCGGTGGGATTTTAACCCAGTCTCTCTCCAAGACTCGCATCGCAGCATATAGCTGTACCGACCGAGCTGAGACGACCCAGTCTCTCTCCCAGACTCGCATCGCAGCATATAGCTGTACCGACCGAACTGAGACGACCCATCGTTCACTCACTGCACAACATGCACCCTAACAACTGAGGGAAACAGTCTCAACGTAACAGGCCAACTCCACCCGAACCTTACGAATCTCCAGCCCACTGTTTCAACGCGCCTCAGAGGGTCTCAACCTCCGAGCCGTCAGGTCAAGCCGTCAGCCATAGCATGACGGGACCACCCTCCCTGAGCCATGTGAGCGCACAGCCCACAAGGCTAGACAAGCCACAGAGTGTCTCCATCTCTGGGCTGTCAGGTCAAGCCGTCAGCCATTGCATGACGGGACCACACACTCCGAGCCATGTGAGCACACAGCCCACTAGGCTAGACATACCACGGAGTGTTTCAATCTCCGGGCTGTCAGGTCAAGCCGTCAACCATTGCATGACGGGACCACCCTCCCTGAGCCATGTGAGCGCACAGCCCACAAGGCTAGACAAGCCACAGAGTGTCTCCATCTCTGGGCTGTCAGGTCAAGCCGTCAGCCATTGCATGACGGGACCACCCTCCCTGAGCCATGTGAGCACACAGCCCACTAGGCTAGACATACCACGGAGTGTTTCAATCTCCGGGCTGTCAGGTCAAGCCGTCAGCCATTGCATGACGGGACCACACTCTCCGAGCCCTGTGAGCGCACAGCCCACTAGGCTAGACATACCACGGAGCGTTTTAATCTCCGGGCTGTCAGGTCAAGCCGTCAGCCATTGCATGACGGGACCACAACATTCATGTTAGACACGCAACACTCACTGGGCCATCCTGGTCAGGATCTGCGCCCCAAGATAAGTGACAGCCAGCACCACAATTCCAAATCCCTGGCAGCATGTCACCATCGCAATTTAACACCATCACAACACATACAATTTGAATTATGATCCCCCACAGAACTGATCCAATGCCGAACAGGTACGCACACTTTGTGACGATCCCGAATATTCAATGGTCACAACAATACACCTCACATCCCGTATCCGTACACATCATCTCCGAGACTCGCATTGCAGCAATGCAGCTGTACCAACCGAGTGGAGAGAGCAACGCAATTTGACGGCAATTAACGGAAACGCACCCCCGATCCATGTAGAACACAAGGAGCATTCCCGCACAAAAGACATCATCTGTGCAACAACGGACAGGAACCAACCAGTTAGTTTGAAACAAACCGAACCTGTAATTTCAAAATCCCCTTCAACATTAACCATGGGACTCAGGGCATTCGAATTAAAAAAAACTATACACAAACACCAAGAATCGCCGAATTGATTAATACAGTACATGCAGTATACGAAGTTCGTACAGTCAATCATTTGGCGCAATGTTCCATCCAGTCCCCACATGGCAACACACACAATCAATACTCCAGACAATCCGTACATAGTAAATAATCACCAGCAAGTACCCAACAGTCCATACACTGTTAACAATTTCAAGCAAAGCTCCATACGGTCTGTACATTGGCAACAATGACGATCAAAGTTTCTGACAGTTACAAGTGACAATCACGAGCGAAACTCCATACAGTATACACAATAACAATGGCGATTTCGCAACACAACGATGTAACAACACGAGTCATTAACACGGCTACATACAGGATATCAACGGAGCTCGGGACACCAACAACGAATTAATCATTAACTACCCCCAGAAGATACCGATCTCGACGCCGTAATTAACAACAAACACTGGTCGCCGCGTCAATTTCTCACGCACACAACCGGACGAACACGTTCCGCAACCCAGCGAGTAAAAAAAAACACCCGCGATCGCAACCCGGCACACGCAAGATGGGTGAAGTTATTATTATTATTTTTATTGGGGCCGGGTGCTTGTCAAGTCACAACTCGCCTGGCAAACTGTGAATAGCGGAGGGCGGCAAGGTGGAGCACTGGAACGGCCCGAAGAATCTTTGATGGTGAACACGGCCTGCTCTTGCGAACCCATCCACCTCTCGCGCTCGAGCAGAAGGCTGGAACTCCCCCTCTGCAGGCGTTGATGTCGGCGGGAGCGGCATTTCGGCAGCAGGAGCGGTGTTTTGGCGGGAACAGCGCCCCGACCAGCCGCCGAAATGGCGGGAACAGCGTTTTGGCGGGAACAGCGCACCGACCAGCCGCCGAAATGGCGAGAACGGCGTTTTGGCGGGAACCGCGCCCCGACCAGCCGCCGAAATGGCGGGCCCACCGCGTGGCCCGCATGCCCGGGCCTCCCCCGCCAGCCACCGCAGCGACGATGGTGTCCTCTCGCCGCGGCTCCGTCGCTCCGTTCCCGATGGCGGCGAAGCAGCAGTGCGATGCAAGTCCCGCCGCTCCGCGTGCAGCGCCATCTCTCTCTCTCTCTCTGTCACCGGGGCTGCCATCCCCGGGGCTGTCCGAAGGACGGTCGTCACACCATCCCCGTCGTACGAAGACGTCCAGATGAGTTTAGTATTTGTTTTTCGTGTGCCCATTTTACTTCCCTAGGATAACACCTAGCAATATTTATTTTTCCACAACTTCTGACACCAAATGTAATGGGTTCAATTTAGGCGCACACACTTCTTGGGAGGCAACACTCATTTATTAATTAACACAACGTTTACTCAACAGTTACTCTTACTCTACACATAGGGTGGTGACCACCGACCTACACTAGCTAACACACAATTGTATTTTATCCGCTCCAGCGTGACCCAGCCAGCTGGCTGCTGGCAGTCCGCTCACTGTAGGTCTTCTCTTCTGGCATCTTCACGAGGTGTCTTCATTCTTCTCAGGAACCGCCCTGCTCTGCCTTCACACCACGCTTATATCTCGTCTCTCTGGCGTGGCCGGCTCCGCCCAGGCCACGCCTCACTTCCCAGGCCACGCCTCACTTCCCAGGCCACGCCTCACTTCCCAGGCCACGCCTCACTTCCCCCACCTCTATGAAGGTCCGGATCCCTCCAGCACGTGACCCCCCAGGCACCCCCTTGGGGCCCCCAGCCCTCGTACGGGCCAACACAGTAGTGACCGTTCTGTCACTACACATGTACAATGTTGCCTTCACTGACACCATTGTTGTATTATGCCCCGCAGCGATGGTGCTCTACAGAATCCCCTGGACACTGGGCAGCAGTAAGATGCTGCTGAAGTGCGTCCATGCGGGCCTGCAGACCTTCTCGTTCCTGCTCGTCGTGCTGGCGCTCGTGGCCGTGTTCGACTTCCACAACGTCAAGAACATTCCCAACATGTACAGCCTCCATAGCTGGGTGGGACTCACTGCTGTTCTGCTCTTCTCTATGCAGGTACACATATGGGGTGGGATGGCATGCTTTTGTTTCTGCTCAAGCATTTTCCAACGATTAGCTGCGTCCATCCTTTCATTTGTTAACGGTGGGTGGGGGGCATGGCGACTCTCTTAGAGATGTTCCAAAAGGAACATGAAGTTGTATTTCATGGGACCTCCTTTGCCAGTACCAGAATATGAGAATAGGTTTTCCCATTTTTTCTGTTGCCAGCAAAAATGGGAAAACCTATTCTCATGAAATTGTATTGTTGTTAACCCCTTTTGAAAAACGGCCAATTGATAAAAAAGGTTATCCAAAAACTTGAACACACGGTGAAAAGCAAAAAGGGCTCTTTTGAAATATGCAAATGCATTCATACTGCTAACGAAATACTTCAGAAGACAAATGTTCGTTGAAAACTGTAACAATCACAACTCCATCACATGCACAATCTTCACATCATCATAATCAGCTGCACCAATACTCAATGCTCTATGGCATGAATGTTGATAATTACTGAATGTCTATGAATAGCTACAGTCTGACTTATATTTGTGCCGATTTCATTATTTGATCAATCCATTTGCAAGCATCCTTTCATGCCTATCATTACATATCACTTTCATCTCAGGTATTGTCCTTGATAGCCCACATCTACCTCAGATTTCCTCGTCTTTGTAGTTACCATGTTTCGTGATTTTCTTCTCTCCGCTTGATGAGTTTTTCACCATGCTTCTTAGTCATTCCGCATATTCGTAATTCCAAATTCCATTTTGTGGCTTCTATAATGTGGCACCATATCTGCATTAATAACAAAGTAAATGCTGGTTCAAGTCAAAACAGCTCCACGGTAAACTCTGTGGAAACGTCACATTGCCGAAAGGCATGCACCTTCTCTTTAACGCGTAGTGTTGTAGATGTAAAATAGCACACAGTCATTTGTAGCAATAGGCTTTAGTTACAGCATAATTTGTGAAAACACACTGTATCAACAAAGACTACATTCCCAATAGGAGAGATGCATCCTTAATATCTGCTTGACAAAGGTGATGGATGATGGCGGTTATGATTATCGATAATGATGACCTTGATGATCTGTAAAATGTGTCTTATCTTGCAGTGGGCTCTGGGTCTCGCCATTTTCCTGTTCCCTGGGTCGCCTGCCTCTCTCAGGGCATTTTCCAAACCAATCCACGCCTACCTGGGCCTATTCATCTTCATCGCATTCCTGGCTGCTGCTCTCACGGGCATCACAGAGAAGCTCATTTTTTCTCTGTGAGTTGGTATCCTTAACACACGCACACGACACAGTGTTACGGGTCATTGCAATGTAAGTGTTTGCAAAGGGCTTTATTGGTCTCTTACTGGTACACTGTTTTTCAGTTTTGTCAAGTAAAAAAATAAGTAACGTTTTTGGCTGCTGCTCAACTGATCATTGGGTAGAGGCTCAGCTTCAGTGCATGGCAACGCTTAAAATAGAAAATCAGTGAAAAGCTACGTTTTATCAGGTGAGGGCTGTCCCAGTGGCACTTGAACAAGAAGACCTCTAACAGCTAAGGCTGGACATAAACAGCCTTGGCAGCAACGACGAGGTCAAGTTAAAAACGTGTGGACCAGTCATTACATAATGCTCTTTACATATAGGTGAAACATTACATTTTGGCTTGACCTCCATCGGGAGTACGTAACATTGACAATACAAAATATATTAGTTTTTTGCAGCAAATAGAGTTAACTGAGATGGGAAAAAAACTGTGAATATAGGTTGTACATAGCGCTTTAATATCCATAGGTCACGAGTCCCTTCTGGTCCGAAAGACCCCTTAATCTTCTCTGCACGATTCAATCTACTCAAATACATGCTGTTGGCTGACAGACTCGAGTCGAGACGGACAAAGTTTATACTGGTAGGAACGAAGTGAACCAGCCTACAATAGATTATATCGTCCGTCCGTACGTCTGATGTCCGATTAGGTGTAGCAACATCGCCCCCTACTGCAAACACAATAACCTTTAGACTCAGTGAGGCTTTCCTGGCTAAACAAGTATAACATTCCCTTATAATTCCCTGAGATAGTTTTTAATTAAAACATTTAAATTAAAAAATAACTCACAGCGGCCTAAAGCCTACAGCTAGGCCTAAAGCCTAGAACTAGGCCTCAAACTCTCCCTTCGTATCGTTCGTTCCTACCAGCCCACCCCGCAGGGACCTGTTTACAACAGAGGATACAAAATAGATGTATTGTGATTCCCCCCCCCCAACCCCCCACCGTGTCTCACAGGAAGCCTGGAAACAACACGAAGGCGTATTCCGAACTGCCGGCAGAAGGGATGTTCGTCAACACGCTGGGCATGCTCCTGCTGGCGTTCGGAGGCTGCGTCGTCTACATCGTCGTACGTCCCGAGTGGCAGCGTCCACCGGAGCTGGCCGCGAGCGAGTTGGCAGGAGACGTCACCGTCTGGCCCGGTGGGGACAATAGCAGCGAGCAGGGCACCAGCAAGCGACTGCCCTTCCGCATCGAGGAGGAGGGCAGTCAGCGCTGCACCCTTTAGTCGAGCGCGTGAACAAGGGAACAAGGGGCGGTCAGTGCCGACGATGTTGTTACGAATTTTCATTTGAAGCTTTCGTGACTGCAGGAATCCCCATACTCTCTGGTTCTTTCGGTAAAAGTCACGTACATAGAAAATCATAAAAGAACACGACGTTTCGGTCGCAACACCACAAGCGTTCGTCCTCAGGTGAGGTTAAATCACTCAACACCTGATGACGGATGCTTGTGTTGCGCCCGAAACGTCGTGTTCCTTTATTATTTTTTCTATCTACGAGATGTTGTTACGCATCGACGCCACACCAAGTGGGTCACGAGTTGCAGTGTGGACGAGCCGGCAGTGATGTGGTAACATGTGGTGACATGTGGTGACATCGCCGTCGCGCTGCGGGATAAAGGTACGGACAGTGAAATCTTATACAGGGAGAAATGGGGAACTGGCAGACTTGCTTCGTAACTTTCCATTTGACGGTGAGGATCACAGTGTTGAGCGACTTAACCAAAGGGGCTGTTTTTTTTATCCGATGGCTTTAAAACAAAAATTGTGAAAAATCGTACAAAAAACATTTTGTCCTGTTTTAGGATACTAAACCGAGGCGTAGCAGTTTTATAATGTATTATCATAGTGGTTATACGATTAGACATTGTTAGTAGCGTTACACAGGATTTTGTAAAACATGCAATGTTTATAATTGCATGATATCATAAGCGTTGGTTATGTTGTATAACTTGCACTGAATAAAGTAGGAGAGGCATTGCATAACCCCATTAGACCTTGGCTATTTAAAAAAAAATACCTGCTTGATGTTTTACAATAATCTTTACATTTAACAACTTGCTCTGACATTTAGTTAACAAAACAATGTTTCCGCGCTGGAGCACACAAGAGATAATACTTTTTACCAATATTTTACGTGATTTGAAGCTTTCGTGAGTGCAGGATTTCATACTATCTGGTTATTTCGGTAAAGTCACGTAGATAGAAAAAAGAATAAAAGAACACGACGTTTCGGTCGCAGCACAAGCGTCCGTCGTCAGGTGAGAAAGAATGATCTGGAAAGAAGTGATGATCTGCTGTTGTGGCTTTATATAGGCACAGGGGGGAGGGGGTTGGAGCAGTTATTTTTTTTCTACGTGACTTTACCAAAATAACCAGAGTATAATATTTAACGTACCGGTACTGAAATTAAAATGAAACATTGTTGAATGTACCAAGCTTTTTTTTACAGATAAAATAAATGTTCAATGCTTTACTTTTTTTTAATGTTTTTTTTTGTATCTCTTTGCTATATATCCTCGAAATAAAGCCGAACTGTGCAAAACAATGTCACACCAATATGAGAAATTCATTGAGGGCCCAAAAAATAGTCCAGTTGTTAGCAAATAACTACACATCAGCTTTCCTGCATCAGAATGTTGCCTGCTCTGTTCAAATGCGAAATTTTTTTTTATCGGTGAATGTGTTTTTATACCAGTGACTTCAGCTGTGTGTGGATTAGTTCAATTAATGACGTCATTATTTTGATTAAAACCTTTTGAAATGTATTTATGTTTCAAAGTGCAATGTTCTTCAACATGTCAATGGATTATTGCAAAACTGTCATTAAGACTTCCAAAGGCTTGTGGTTAGGGCATATTTACCAGACATGTTAACTTTATAAAAAGCCTTGTGCAGAGATAAGAAAATGCATTATAATTTTCTTTGGACAAGATCTATCAAGAATGCCATGACGATATCTCAGTTCAAAGTCGCTTCTGTATTTGTATAAATCACAACGCTCGCGCAATTATATATCACAAATGCTTTAATAAAAGCGAATTTGTATTCACAATCACAAGCAATAAATCACACATCAACATGTACTCACATCAACAGAACAAATGGAAAGGGTGGATTTGGAGGCGACAGTTGTACAAAATTCCTCTAAGCCACAGCTGTAACCCTACAATCAATCCTACTCGCTAATACTCCAACATTCTATCTCAGGTAATTCCACGAAATATTTAGACCCTTTGTGTTTGTTAGGCTCTTCCATTTGCAGGCGTCAATTCATGTTTAGGAGCCCCGGGCACGCAATGAAGTCCCCTTCTCAACTATTGTGGCGATGCTGTAAGGATGCATTCCTTGCACAGCGCATGACAGGACAACAATTACAGCAGGGCCCTGTCAGGCCAACTGACAGCAACAATCGAGTTGATAATGACCACGATGATGGCACTAGACTTTGGTGAACATAATTCACGACTAAACTTTTAATTACTACTAAGCTATACATTACGCCTTCCATATTCAATATATTATTATATTACACGATATTTCTCGTGTATTTACATGCATTTTTATCATTCATTTCGGCAGTGGCATCAATATTTCAAACATTCAGTTGTTACTGAGATGTGATGTGGCCTTGAACTCTTGGAATTGCCGTTTCTTCCTGACCCATGAATCGTCGTGGATCCCAGCTTGCCGAGTGAGGCCGTGGGAACACGAAGCTACATGTTCAGGCTGCAGCTTGAAATACGGCTTCAAAGAGATGAGTTTCCAGGCCTTATGTGGATCAACATCAGTGCACTGTTTGGTGTAAAGTCACAAGAACCTGTCCCCGTTTCAGCCAACAATGTTTCAAGAGGTTACCTTGAAATTAACGCCTATTGTTATTGTAATTATTTACAGCTGTGAAGTAAGAATGTTACGTCCAACCTCGTGTCATTTTACGAAATACTAAATTAAATGGAATGTAAAGTCCAACTGTATACGTTAAAACATTTTAAAAGACACCGAGGTTTTGCTGCACTGCAGTAATGGTGAACCAAAGGAACATTCGAATATACAATGCCACATTTTTGACCGATCGAGAAATCTCCACAACCATCCCTACTCCATCCGCACAAAGACTTGATACTCTTCTAAACCTAAGTTGCATGCCAAAGTTGTTTCCCGTACTCTGAAATTGTCACAAACTATACCGCTGACTCCAAATCCAGCCACTTTACCAGTTCCCAAATCACCAAAAGGTGTGACAGCAACACATGTTCTTAGTTTGAGATACGTAAGTAGTTTTTTGTTTCTCATTCATTTTAACTTTAAGCTGATTTCACACAATTAATCACAGTTTGATTACACCACAGTAATTTAAATATATTAAAATGCATCTCCCCTTAAGCCTATTACGTGACACCGCACTTTTGATGCAATCATATAAATCCAATGTTTGAGACAGCCGGCTGCTCCATCTACCCTGGCAGAAATTGGCACAATCTCGGCTTGCGGCTAAATTGGCGAGTGCCACCACTCGCCATGGCTGATCTGACGTCACCCCCAGGTTTTGGTCTCGAGATTAAAATATGAAGAGCTGAAAGGCTTTAAAGTTTACATTCTAGAGTGAAAATCCACGAAAAAAATGTTGAGGGTCACTTTTTGCTCATGGTCCATCTGACTTTACACTGCAGATTCTTATGGGTGGGATTTTTTTTCATTGAAGTTTAATCCTATATTTTGATTGTGTCACACTCTTATCACTGCACAGTTTAGAGTTTATTCAATGTGACATCACATTCATGACACAAACCAGACGTTTCTTTCAATCCTAGGAATATATTCCTGCTTTGTAACTGGATATGCACTCACCGTAATGAATAACTCTTGCCGAGTGAAACAGAATTAAAACGCCCTAAAGTTAAGCATGGCTTTGGAGCGATGGCAGGGCAGTTAATGCACTGCACTGTGAACCCAGCGACCCGAATTCGGTTCCTGGCCACGGTTAACATGAGTGGCGAGCAGTGCCTGAACCTGTCTTGGGACCCCCTTCAACCTGCAATGAAGTATGGTCAAACAACCCCCATATGGCCGACACAGTATGGGGGGGGTCGTCATTCGACAGTGATTTGACACATGGCTGTAAACTGTTATACCGTATTCTCCAGATTATAAGACACCTTTCCCCCCAGTTTTATGTAGCACAAGTTGGGGGGGGGGCACCTTACACTCCAGTAGGCGTGACAAAATTTGTATCATTTTATCATCACCGGGTACAAGTTTGTATTGCGTCTTGCCAACTGGTGAATGCGTCATTATCGGCAAGCGTGCAGCGTCTGCTGTAAACCTCGACTGTAACTGGCGTAACCTTGGCTACTGGTCCCGTTCATCACTCGGAATTTGTAAATATAATTTTACGGGGATTTTCATTCAGGTTTCATGAATAAAAATACAATTCACGTGATTTCATGAAACAAAATAACGAGAAAACTCTATCGAAACATGGAACGTTGAAATATCTGGCATATTCTGGCTCATTGAGGTGAATGAGCAACGGAGAAGAGTGAAAGAGAGAATAGAATGGAGAGAGACACACAAAGGGCTCCAAGCCTCGTTTGTAGAAGCTCAAGGTGGCAGCTCCATTTGTCAAAGCCGTTACTGCTGTAATTTATTCAACAGCTTGTTTTTGTTTCTCCCCGACCAGGAATGCGCACAGACACACACACACTCACGTTTCAGCTGCGATGATTTATCTAGATATTTTAAACCCCATTTTAATTCAATAGAGATTCTGAATTCAATATCAACACTTTGCAATCAATGCATCCCTACACTGAAAAACGTATAACCATGAACCAATTAAAAATCAGCATTACATTACAAAGCATGATAATATTTTAACCAACGGCGCAGACGGTGAACGAGGGTGGAATGCTGGGAGCTCATCGGTGTGAGAATGTCCGCACACACACGGCCTGCAGTCACGCACACACACGGCCATGCCGAGGCACTTGCAAACCTCGTCACGTGTGCTCAATTTGCGCCAGATGGCTGAGATGACAATGCAATATTTCCTCCCATGTACATCTCTCACAAATGCAGGCAACATGCTGCCATCGTTGCATGTTCTAACCAAACAATTACATGGCACGGCAGAATTAAGACTTTTAGAAAGTACTGTTTGGCTGTATTTTCCTGAAGCCGTGACCTTACATGAATTTCTTTGAGAATGCCCAAGTGTGCCAACTTTCAGTTGCCGAAACCCTGCTCCATCTACTATCTCCCTCCCACCAACAAGGAATCTCCTCCTCCGAGCATCGTCTCCCACAAGACTATAATTGTATCCCTTTTTCCTGCATTTTTTAAATAGCTAACTTGCAGTAAGGCAACAGTCTAGCTATCAAGCCTGAGCCTAAAGACCCATTAATTATCAAGAAGAGAAGGCAGTGTGGAGAATGATGAATCCACCCCTACTGTGCTCACTTTGTTGAAACACTTTGAGAGGTTATGTAGGCCACAGGATATGAACAGCCTCCCAAGGCATGACGGTTTCTCCCTGGCATAACAGCTAAGACAAGTTTAATATTTCAGTGTATGGCTTTCACAGGACACGGGGCAAACTGCTCCTGCAGAAGCATAACATGGTGACCGTAAAGGCAGACAACCATTCCAAGAAAACTATTTAAAAATGTAATCACGTGTCAATCACAATCGGCACACGACACAAGCGAGAAGCGCTCTTTGCCCAAATTACACTTATGTCGATATCTGTCTGCAATTATAGCATTGAAAGGCCATTTGCTTTGAGCAAATAACGTGACCATTATCCACTCAGCAGCAGTACACTTTTTATGGCACAACAGCAGAAAGTCTTACTCTGAAAGCAGAATGCAAAAACAACATTTCACAACATGGGAAACACTTGTGTTTGGACCAAACTGAGGATTAAAATATCGACAGTGATATGCAACCCGTGGCGTGTATAAATCTAGACTGCAAGTGATGTAAGCGCTTACATCTTAAGGCGAAGCCTAATTTAATTTTAGTTTAGACATTAGCCAACCTATCAATAATTTTGGTGCAATCCCTGAAGAAGGAATCTTGCATGACAATTCTACTTCCAACTACAAGCAGAATACTCATCAGGACGCATATTGGACTCAAACGGCGTCTAAACGCAACCACATCGCAAGACGCGACATAGAAGAGTGGGACAGGAGCATGCTGGGAAAAGGAACGTTTTATTTCATTACGAACCAAGTATCTCTAAGTCAAAATTAAATTAAATATGTTGTAACCAATAGGTGTAATCATCGGGATACTATGGCTGTTTGAAATGGTAAAGCTCAGGGGAGGTGATGAAACAAGTTGAAAAATGTATAAGTAGTTTGACTCAGACAACGGCTAAAAGTCTGATGTCAGTTTGATGTATATAATTTCTCTAACAATATCAGCAAGGTGCCAAGTCCCATTTGGGGAAATGCTATTCTCCGCTCAAGTGGTTTATTTCTCACTCACTCCAGGTGCAACAAATTACTTCCGCATGAAACAGCATGTTTTTTTTTCCAACTCGATTAAACCCACCTGGCATGGGTAAGAAATAGCACGCAAGACGGACACATCACCTCCCCAATGTAAACCTGCGCCTCGCCAGTCACCGACAATAAAGGTGAAGGCAGTTCCCCACCACCTATTCACCAGAGCATTGATTGAGGGTGCTCATCATCGCGCCCCTTCACCCGACTCCCGGTCATTAAGTCGGGACCTAATCAGTAAACGGCTACGTCGG